TGAATTTTAAATGATTAGAAAGATTTGAAAATAATCTTGAAAATTAGAAAAAATGAAGACATAGTCTAATAATCAGATTAGAATCGGATAAAAATAGTATCGTTTTCCTCGAATTTAAACGGATTTATAATCGTTTTTTTGTCAGGATAATATTCTTTTGAAGTTATCTGAAAAAGATATCTGTACTAAGCATAAAAACACAACATTTTTCATTAAATTATCAACCCATCCCGTAGTCGAGTTCAATTCATATGCCCTCAGGGCGCCCTACCCTGTCCGGTCCTGCCCTGAGGACAGGACAGGACAAAAAAAAGTGCCCTGTGATGGTCTCTGATATATAATTGCTTGGTTTTTTTTTTTTCTATATAGATAAAGATACAATGCATTCTGAATATGTTGATACTCGTAATGGTCTTTATCCTGCACCACTTGGTCGTAATGCAAAGGCCAGTGTTGTAACAAAAATTCGTCAAAAATTTAAATTTCTTGGTAAATTTATGGCTAAAGCACTGATGGATTCGAGAATGGTAAATTTCTTTCTTTATTTTCAATTTTAAATATACAATTAAAAATTAAACGAATCATTTTTATTTAGATTGATATGCAATTTAGTATTGTTTTTTATAAATGGTTATTAGGTCAAGAAGAAACATTAAATCTTGAAGATCTTATTCATGTTGATATTAATTTATATGAACAATTTAAAAAACTTCAATCTATTATAAATATACGTAATAAATTAATGACACAACATGATATATCAAATCAACAATTAACAAATAAATTAAATAATAAAAAAAATTTTAAATCTAAAGATGATTCTCAAATAGAAAATTTATCTTATATAAATATGATTGATGAAAATGATGATAGATTATTATTTGATGGTTGTAAAATTAGTGATTTATCATTAGTATTTACATTACCTGGTTATTCAAATATTGATTTAAAAAAAGGTGGAAAAGATTGTTTAGTTACAATTGAAAATCTTGATCAATATATTAATGTAAAAATAAATAATTAATATTTACAACGAAAAAAAAAAAAACAAAAAGAATTTTCTTGTTTTATTTTAGTTGATTGTATATTGGACATTAGTTGAAGGTGTTCGACGTCAATTTGAATCATTCCGTGATGGATTTAATTCCATATTTCCTATTCAACATTTAAAATGTTTCTATCCTGATGAAGTATGTTTAATAAAAATAAAAATTATCTTTCATTTGTCTGTGTGTGTGTTTAATATAGCTTCATCAAGTATTTTGTGGTAGTGGATCAACAGAACTATGGGATCTTAAAGTTTTAGTTGAATCAACTCGTTGTGATCATGGTTATAATTTAAATAGTCGTGCTGTTAAATGGCTTTTTGATATAATGATTAATTTTGATGTTGACGAACAACGAGCATTTCTACAATTTGTTACTGGTAGTCCACGTTTACCTGTTGGAGGTCAGTTTATTAAAACTATTTGTTTTATGATGTTTTGGGTGCATGCATACAGAGATTTCGTTTGTTTTTGACCAAGGAGGGGAAAAATTTTTCCAGGAAGACTTTCTCCGAAAATTTTAGGAGGGGAAAATTCCCTCCCTTCTCCCCCCCCCCCCCCCCCCCGCCCCCTCACTCCCCCCCCCCCCCCCCCCCCCCCCCCCCCACCCCACCCCCCCCCCCCCCCCCCCCCCCGCCCCCCCCCCCGTAGTATGGGATTGG